ACTGTCAGAGCAAAGCAGGAGACACTACGCGATATCACTGAAGAATCATGCGTGGAAGAACATTGGAAGTCTCTGAAGGCGATTCTCAACGAAACGTGTTCGACGGTTCTAGGAAGAAAGAAGAGACAAGACAAGGAATGGCTCTCAACGGACACTTGGAAATTAATAGAAGAGAGGAGAATGGTGAAAGAGAAAATGATTCAATGCAAGGACGGACAGGAGAAGGAGACGATGAGCTCAACTTACGAAGCATTGGACAAAGAAGTGAAGAAAAGTGCTAGGAAGGACAAAAGACGATTCTACGACAATCTAGCTACTAAAGCTGAAAAGGCAGAAGGAAAAAGGGATCTGAGGACACTATATCAGATAACCAAATCTCTATCCGGGAAGAGATCAACACAAGCGAAACCTATAAAAGACAGCCAAGGGAACCCAACTATCAAGGAATAAAAACAGATTAAACAATGGGCGGATCACTTCAAAGGACTCTTGAACCGACCATCACCTGCAACCCGTCCAGAAATACCAACAACAGCGCGCACACAACTGCAAGTTGACACCAATCCTCCAACGAGAGCTGAAGTCTTGAACGCAATCAAACTTCTGAAAGCTGGAAAAACAGCCGGACCAGATGGAATACCCCCTGAAGCACTGAAAGCAGACCCAGAGACGACAGCAGACATGCTGACTCCATTATTGCAAAAGGTCTGGAAGGAGGGAAAGGTGCCTACTGACTGGAGGAAAGGTTACCTCGTGAAACTACCAAAGAAGGGCGACTTAGGCCCCACTCTGCAAGAACTGGCGAGGAATCATGCTCCTATCGACGCCAAGTAAAATCCTGAGTCGCATCATCCTGGAGAGATTAAAGGACGCACTGGAGACAGAACTCCGACCAGAACAAGCTGGATTCAGGAAAGGCAAATCATGTACTGACCAAATTGCAACTCTACGCATCATCACAGAACAAAGCATGGAATGGCAATCAAACCTCTACCTCAACTTTATAGACTTTGAGAAGGCCTTCGACAGCGTTGATCGTGAAGTAATTTGGAAATTACTCGAGTACTATGGCGTACCCCAAATATTCATCAACCTTATTCAACAGCTGTACGACAACGGCACCTGCCAAGTGATCCACAACGGAAGACTCAGCGAGGCGTTTGGAGTAAACACAGGAGTCAGACAAGGGTGCTTACTATCACCAATGATATTCCTAATTGTGGTGGACTGGATTATGCGTCAGACAGTGGGAAACGAGAAGACAGGAATATCCTGGACCGACGTGAAGAACCTAGAAGACCTGGATTTCGCGGATGACTTATGTTTGATGTCACACACAATCGAAGACTTACAAGCGAAAACCGACAAACTGGTCGAAGAAGCAGCCGGCGAAGACAGGACTCCAGGTAAACATAGACAAGACGGAGGTTATGAAAATAACCAACCAACAACAGCAACAACATCCAACGTCAATCACCATCAACGGGAGGGATTTGAAAGAGGTTACTTCATTCACTTATCTAGGGAGCATTGTCTCAACTACAGGAGGAGCGGACGAGGATGTCAAATCGAGCGAGAATCGGGAAGGCGAGAAACACATTCATCAGCCTGAAATCAATCTGGAAATCTTCGTCACTCAGCATCACCAACAAAATTCGGATTTTCAATACAAACGTAAAGTCAGTTCTTCTATACGGATCAGAAACTTGGCGGGTGGGTCACAAAGAATATTTCCAAAAGGCTGCAGACCTTTATTAACAACTGTCTTCGCTCTATACTGAAGATCAGATGGCCGGAAAGAATCACCAACAAGGAATTATGGGAACAAACAAAGCAAGAACCAATCGCCACAACAAATATGCAGGAGAAAGTGGAGATGGATCGGACACTCGCTGAGGAGACCGCTGGGTGACATCGCGCGCCAAGCCCTCGAGTGGAACCCGAAAGGGAAGCGGCGTGTGGGACGTCATGCAAGGGTGACATGGAGGAGATCGTGTGAAGAGGAGTTGAAAGAATATGGACTAACATGGATGCAGGCGAAAAGTATAGCAGAAGACAGAAGAAAATGGAGACGTGCAGTTGAAGCCCTATGTTCCACTAGGAACCCAAGGGAGCAATAATAATAATAATGTGGTCTATCTGAGTCCAACGTTGATTTGATGATGGAGGTCGCCACGTTACTCAGTCACTCTTTGTGCCTAAAGTTGGTGCTGACTAGGAACAGATGATTATCTGAGCAGAACTGTTGAAGACGATCACCCTCGTCAGCGTATCACCTACATACTTCTCAGTCCGGCCTAACTTCCCTACTTGGGCATTGAAGTCGGCTGCTAAAACAACCATATCTGAACGTTTTGCTTTTTGCAGAAAATTAGACAGTTTCAGGTAGAAGTCATCCTTTAGTTCATCCGAACTACAGTCTTTCGGGACGTAAGTGGAGACTACGAAAGGAAAACGACAGATAGCATTATACTTCCCTCTTCCAACGGATCCGTTAGGACAGACCGCACACATATAACTATCTACTGGGATCCAGTCAAGAAGTGATTTTTCCACCTTGACACTCAGTGCTATCCCTACAGCTGCGAGTCCTCGCGAACCATCTGAGGGGTTTCCTGACACTCTAAAAGTGAATTTTGTAGATTCACTCTGTTGGCTCGGTGAGTTCAAGTGAATGACTCCACCCGGGTCTTGTATGCGTGTTTCCGAAACATAAAATACATCCAGGGCCAGAGAGTCCTGACATTAAATGCTCTAATATGAAGTTGGCAACATGGCTTTAAGAGGCAGTTTCTATGGCTCTCGTCGTTGTTCGTGGTCACAGAGTTAAACGAATATGACTCACTAGCCTGAAGAATAGTACCGACTGTAATAGGGGAGCAAGACGATGAAAGTGATGTGAGCAAAGGAGAATGATACTCAGGAAGTCTTCGTGTGCTTTTGGAATTATGTGGGCGGTTTTTTCTTCCCAGCTGCCCACACCGTGGAAGTTGATTGATTCTTCGGGTACCTGAAACAGAAAGAGCGTCGGTGTTGTGTGACCGTAGGGCCCACGGGACAACTGCTTGAGGCCAGTCACACACGGCCTGTTTGAATCGGTTTCTTGGATTGGTTCCCTATTAGTAACTTACCTCCAGTTACGGACCGCTGTAAGGTAAGTCGGGATGTACAATTGTTGGCGTCGACCTTTTCTAACCCCCTCTATCCAGAGTGGAGAGACAGCATAGCTGGCATACTGGTCATCTGAGGGAAACACCTTACTACTTTTACATCCCTGTCCCCCAGCAGTACGATTTTGCCCACGAACCCCCGCATATTGTACAAAAAAATCCTTACACTAGGCCGGCAACTGCACTTAGTCGAATCGCCATCCTAACAACCTTACCGGTATAATGGGACCTGGAGGAACATTAATTCCAGATAGTGTAGCTTGTTGGGTCATTGCGATGTGCAATCCCGACCACCACGTTAAGGTAGCAGCTACTGGTCAGAAAATGGTAGAATGAGAAAGTGAAAACAATACAAACAACAGCAATTATATAAATGCTGTGGCTTAGAACGATATTACTCCATGAAACAAATGAACGTATGAATAGGAGCTTTGGTTGGTAGACGGAGTCCTTTAGTCAGTAATTTACTTAGCTTTCATGTGGTGATGAACGTCAATAAGCGTAATGCACAGTCTTTCGCCGACGTACTGCTTTATATCGTCATGATTACATTTTCGCATCCGATTAATATTTCATACTTCGTTATTTTTATTCGTTTGTGTTACGAGTGGAACATAGGGCTTCTTTAGTAGCACATCTCCATTTCACCCTGTTCTCTACCATTTTTGTTGGGTAGTTTCACGATTACTTTGTTAAGCTTTCATGACCTGCTCACACATGATCTCCTCTACGTTAACCTCTGTCGGCCAACTCGTTGCTTTCTATTCGATTTCCACTCGAGGACTTGGTGTGTGATATGGCTCGCAGATCTCCCCCTAGTATTATGTCCTATTCATCTCTACTTCCTTCTGCATGCACTTTAGACGATAGGTTTTTGGTTAATTCATTGCCGAAGTTCCCTGTCACTTTTCCTTTGTGGTAGACTATCTGATAGTCAGTATCGAGACAGAGGAGCTATCTGTTTATGAAAGTCGTCTGCAGTAGCCTGTCGGAAATGATTTGATGACATGCACGCCAAATCTGTGAATCATACAGAAACACCAACTGGATATTATAGTGTTGAAAGCTCGGATCTCATTCGTTATTCTGAGTACAGTTACAGGACTTCAACATAAGTTGACATCGATTAAAGAACTATTGGAAAACTTATTCAAGTTTGTAGTTACCTTGGGGTTCTAGTGGGAAGTCGTGACCAGCAGGGTACAGCAGGTCGGGTGTGAGGACAAATACTAGTCGAAGGTATTGGCTAGTGATCGCACTATGTCGTGAATCGACAGAAGTTAGAATTCATTGGCCATTGAGTCGGGTCTCAATGGTCTACGAACCCGTCCTGTTTTCGAGTCTCAGTGAAGCATACTGACGAAGAGTCCCATACTAGGAGGAAACAGCTGTCCAGGCTTTCCAATGATTCTCTAACCAGTGTCAAGCTCATGATGAAATCCTTTAACCAATACTTGAATACAGTTAGTTTGCACATCTATTTCAAAGCGATGAAAATTCATCTTGCTTTTCCAATCCTGGCTGACTTTAACACCCTCATCCGTGCCATCCTATTAGCTCGAAAAAAGTTATAAGCAGATGTCCATTACTCCTTGTTGGTTTTCCGATAGTTGTCTCTCTAAACGATGTCAGCTTGTGTTCAATCCATCCTGTATAGCCAATCAAATCCCTGAAAATCAGCAAAAAGTGGAACAAACAAACAACACAAACCTGTCACCACCACCACCACCAAAAGGAAAAAACAGAAATATTTTATTAAATGAACAAAAAAAAAGAAAAAATCATAAACAAATAATTTAAAAATTACAAGAAAAGAAATAAGTTTTGAGGAGGAAGAAGAAGAAAGGAGAACGCGAACATACATACATACATTACATCACAGAGATGTTTACGCTTGCCGCCTGCCTGCCTACATACATATTATAACACTATTAATCTAATAAAACAAAATCTCCTGTTTATTACTATCACTGTTATTATTATTACTATAATCCTCCTCTGAAAACGATAACAACAGCGCCAACAACAAGAAAGTTGAAAAAAAAGTAAAATCATTAAAATAAAATAAATAAACTGATAAAAAAGAGGAAAATGACAAAATAAAAAAAAATGCAAAAGATAACCTTAGTTAGAGTACAATATATGAGTATATATCTTTTCTATACAAATAGGAGTAATGTCTCATTAGATACACCATATATATATCTGTAAAATTTCATAGGCATATATATATATATATGTGTATATTATAAATACCAATATAAAGAGGACTAGATATCGCGTGTGTATTCATATCATTGGAGAAGAGAGGAGAATAGAACAGGATTAGAGAAAAGAACTTGGATAGACTGAAAGAAGAAGGGGAGACCCACCGGTTAGAATAAGACGAAGTGGGAGAATACAACAAGTGATGTTCAGCTTTCTAACAATATGGCAATAAATAAATTAAAAAAAAACAAATGTAAATACAGAAATAATAAATAAATAAATAAATAAATAATTATATTAAATAACTAAAAGATCAAATAATAATAATAATAATTATAATCAGATATTAGTAAACTGTGTCTGTAAGTCGTCTAGTCAGTCAACATCATTTAAACTCTCCAGTCTACTACTGGTAGATGAGCATATCAACAATGGATCGGTTAGTTTATTACACCGATAGATATCAGGTAATGAAGTCGGCTCCAGTTGGATTTCTAGCGGTGGATGATAGACTGTCCTTTGTAGATCTTCTGAATTCGGTAGGGAGACTGAAAGTTGTGGACTTGGTGATAGATTATTAGTTGAATGATAACTGCTAGAATAATTCCCACCATGAAGAGGTGCAGTACTATTTTCTGGAGATGCTGGAGGATCAGGTGTCCAATAACATTCGCCTATATTATGTATACAAGGAGAAAGAGATTAATGAATATTTATATGTCATTAGGAATAGTCATAGATAAACTATGTGAGAAGAATATAGGTCATTCAATATGAAGGTTAGAGGCAAAGATGTTGGCTGGAAAGATAACGAAAGATTTGCAGTTCAAACCATCGAAAAGTCAGAGAACCCGAAAAACACCAAATATATATAAAGTTGCACAACACTTACATACGACTGCATAATATTTATTGATTGAGATGGGTAGCTGAATACCACCCATATTATCAACAGCTGACTTCGTGCCATACTGAACATTAAATGGCAGGTCAGAAGGAATCAGCAACAAGAAACTCTGGGAACATACCAACCAAGAGCTGATTGCTCAGCGTAAATATGTACAAGAAAATGGAGATGGAATGGGTATACGCTGATGAAACTACCAAATGATAACGCGCACCAGGCCTATTGTTCGAGGGAAACCCGCAAGGGGAAACGATAGGTGGGGAGTCGGAGGGTGATTTGGAGCAGGAGATCAGAGACTATGGGCAATCATGGGACCATCTAAAGAGAACCGCACAGAAGAGGAGGAGCTGGAGACATGCTGTTGAAGCTCCATGTTCCACTGGGAACCCAATGGAACAATAATAAATACTACTCACATAAACCAGTAGTGATTACTAGCCAGTCCAATCGAAGTGATATAAAAATCGAACGACCATTTCATCAGTTTGAAACCGAACTTACCAAAAGTATACCCGGTTGGAATCAGTTCAGAGGGCCAGCATCACTTTAAACCACCCGACTTTTGGTTAGCTAACTGGGCAAGCTGGTCATTCCATAAATTAAATCCGAAATTTACATAGTTCGAGTGGTGAAATTTCACCAATTTGTATAAGATAGCCAAAAATTATACAGATCGCAGTGTATGTTCTGATCGATAACATAACTGGTAATCAAGAAGGGAATCATGAGATTACATAAAACTGTATACTACTGGTTGATTGAGACGAGTACTTGTATCAAGCAGATCCCACATATTGTGGTGATCTGAACAATTTCGGCTTTCAAAGGAAACTCTGGTGAAATTTCAGTAGGCCCTGGATTCGAACCATGAAGGTGGATGCATACTACTGAAGAGCCCCAAAGTAGGCTGGCGGAACAGCTGTCCAGTACTCTCTGCAGGTTTTCCAATGGTCCTCTCTCTAACTGATGTCAGCTCTCATGATGAAATCCTCCAACCAATCGAAAAAAATCCCTATAAAACCAATACTTGAAAAATTTCACCTCCTCGAACTGTGTAAATTGCAAATCAAGTTTTAAATTGAGAATTTGACTTACTGCAGCATTATACTTGTTGGTTATTTAGGCGTGATAGTCTGCAAATTTTGCGCTTTCAGTCAGTACTCTTTATGGCGTATTTTCAAAGATAAAAACCAACTGAAGTCTGTTTTATTTATTTAAGAGTTAATTTCAAACATGATAATTCGTGGATTGTTTCACTACAGAGGGACGTATTTCTTGCCTCCAAAGCCTCAGGATGGTCGGGGGTGGGTGCCTTGCGCTGCGGGTTGGCCACCCCTCCGTACACCTCTTGAAATGCTCCCATATGACTGGGCGTCTTACATAGCCTCTCCTGAGGAAGTCCTACTCACTGCCTTCACGTGGCGGAGGTGTTTTTCACCGAAGTGAGAGGGCAAAAGCGGATGCCCGGTGCTCTTCACCTGGTTGACTGTCCATTGGATGACAGTCTAGGGGAGATGGCTAAACCCTGATCCCAAACCTCCAACGACTGGCGTATGAAGCTCACCGGCAGACGTACGGACAAAGGGCTTATTGGATGCCATGGATGTCTGGCCCCATTCAAAAAGGTGTATGAACCGGACTCCGATCACCGGCTGCCAATGGATAGTGGACTCCCTACTCCACCCCTACTGCCTTGTAGGTCACACTTGGTTGTGTAAAGGCTAGAGCTGCACTCTCAAACAAAAGGCCGAGCGATGCTGGGGACATCACTCGTACCTAATTCCCATGAAACTTCATGAACTCTCTACAACATCAACCAAATTCCAGTACTGGTCCAACAACGTCGCCTTCGGTGGTTTGGCCATGTTCTGCGCCGACCAGATGACGATCTGGTCAAATCAGTTCTAAATCCCTCGCCATTTCCATCCTGGCGATGTCGCAGGGGTGGACAGCTGAAAACATGGCTTGGTACAGTCAAGGCTGATATGGAGTGCCTGGGGCTACACACCGTCTACGGACTCCGTCTGTGGAACAAGAATTGGATAACCGTGTCGCGAAACCTTGCATCAGATCGCCGCGCCTGGGCAGCGATGATTCGAGATGTTCATGAAGCCGGCTCATCCTCCCGTAGGAGATAGCCGAAGTAAAGTAAAGTATCTCTTAAATGGTTTCATTCTGTTTGGGGTTTATTTCACTGGACCAGTAAACATACATGTGTATATACGGGGATAGAAAACAATCACATAAAGATTGGTAAGATTGTCCAAAAAGTAATTAGAAGTGCCTAAATTTGCACTAGGACACGACGTCTGAACCGACTCCGAATTTGAAGATGGAGGCTGCGGGGGGGGGTGAAGCGGTGGGACTTGTTGACCACTTCCTTAATTTGGGAGGTTCTTAGACGAGTACACTGTCTGATAACAGATGAGAAAGAAAAAGAAGAAGAAATATCAAACATTACTGAAACTCTCCTCAAGCAAAACAACTACCCAAGGAACTTCATCAACAAAATCAACGCAGACATTAAGTATGGCCGAGAACGCATTCGAAAAACATGGACGTCAACAATCGTCATTCTATAGAGGGCAGAGACGTCAGACGATATCAGGAGAGTACTCAATTAGCTCGACATTAGAGTTTTCTTCAAAACATCAGACACACTACGTAACAACCTTGTCCATGTAAAAGACCAAATCCCAAAAGCTTCTCTATCTAATTGTGTCCATAAAATAAAATGATTGCTTGGAATGTGATGCGATCTACATCGGACAAACATCACCAGAGAGAAATCAAAAACAGAAGAAATGAACACCGCAGAGAATCTGTTCGACCACTGACAGATCCAGTTAGTGAACGAGAGAAACTTGAAAAATCATCAGCCATGCTATAGAATCAGGCCACAAAATTGATTGTGACAATATTGAAATAATCTAGAAAAACTTCAGAAATCACAAAGAACATCTCACATCATCAGAAGCACTTCATGTCAAATGGAATCTAAATTGTCTGATGAATAGGAATGATGGACTAAACCAGAATTTGACCATGTTACAACATCCCACTCCTCCAAGAAATGACAAACTCAACACGAATGTGATATACATTTTCATCATGTAAATACACACTACGTTTATAATTTTACACACTTATCAAATCCAACAATCTACACTTGATTTTGTTATCTTTACCGATTGACCAACTTGACAACGAAAAACGACCCCAGACAGACGAACGATGATCAAGTTGGTAAACTTTATTTTGATATCATGACTGATATACTATTACCTTTGTTATTTGGTTTAGTGATCTTCATTGTTATTTTGACTTTCAATATGTCCCTTCTAACTTGACCTAAGTCTACTTTCTCACCCCTTAACTCTTTGTTATATATATGCTGAGATTTTGTAAATTCCAGCTTGATAATACTACTTTGATAGAGCTATTAGCATTAAATAGCGAAACCTCAGAGTAAAAACAATATCGTTTTGTTCTTCATTCATTGGGAAATACAAAAAAAAAAAGTTATTATAATGAAGTTTCATCAACCCGAATTAACTGATTGCTAGTGAAATTTCGGCAACGATACAAAATACTCGTGTGGCATTTGCCAGTTTACATCACCTCTGGAATACACACGTGATATCCGGCTAGTGATCAAAGTGAGGTGTGTAAAAACCAGTAAGTTTGTTCTGTTCTTTTCATAGTTATGAGACCTCACCGTTGAAATTGGAAGACTTGAAAAGGGACTGCTTGTCTGTAATGATAGGTGTTTTTATCTTATCTCTAGTGTTAAATGGTATAATATGATGAGTAATACTGGAGTTAGGTATAGAATATTAGATAAGGAGCTTAAGGTTAATCGATCAGGTCATGAAGCTACTGAAATTGAGACGGCTAGGACACATGTTAGGCATTTTGAGCCCCAACCTCTTAAGTCAAGCAATTTCAGCTGATATAGGAGATTAGGTTGGAAAAGAGTCAGAGTTGGTCAAGCCAGAACTTGGCGCCAATCCATGAAGTTTTTGACTGTTTGAGTGCTCCACATTTAGGGAGGCTAGGCTTCATAAGACGCTGAAAATAAATGGTTGGAAACCATTTATTAAATCGAACAAAATCATTGTCAGTGGCCTAGCTGCATTCACTCACTCAGTGATATACCAGATTCATTAAGTCCTCATTATTCTTCATGTAATTATTTATTCTCTCACACTGTCTGTTTTCGACATAGAAATTTGCACAAATGTGCGGAAGTTCAAGTCGCCACATTCCGTGTAGCACGCGAAGCAAGAGAAGAAAGTACAAGAAAAGCATAATAGAAACAGTGAGCAGAGGTGTGAGACAAAGGAGTAATAAAGAAATACAAAACAGTTTCATTGAAGATCATAAGTCACAGGGAGTGGATGCATCTGCGCCACTGAGAACGGTTTTGAGCCATGTCACCAATTGTTTCCAACCATAGATTTTTACCGTCCCGAGGACCCCAGCCTGGAAGTCTACACACACATTTTTGCATATTATAGTTCCTTTGAGTTTTTTCCCTTTCTCTACCTCTATGTGATATGAGAAGTGTGGCAACTTGAACTTTTGAACTTCAGTGAGAAATCTACTCTGAGAATTCTGTCAGTAAGCAGTATGGTTGATGACTTTGATATGTGTTAACGAGAAGGATTTATAACCAGACGTTTTACAAGAAGCATGAAGAGTCTGTCTACATTTCTTTATACAATTTAGAAAAAAGGATTACAGACTGCATTAATTTGTGCTAGGCTTTTAATATGGTGGCCAATGTCCAATCTAAGAATAAATCAATTAGAATTCGGCTCACTTAAGTGATCAATGTCCAGTCCAGCAACCGACCAATTAGAACTGGTCTACGTAAAATAAAGCCCGCTATTTTATTGATCATGTCTATTAGACTAATTAAAATATCAATCCCTGGAGATTTTTTGAAGCATACATTATTGCGTGAAATATACATTCCGGCGACTCACATCCGTTGTGTTCTCGCTTAATTAGTTCAGGCTCGGGAAACAAGTAACTGTCGTAAAGTGTTGTTGGCGTAGTCACGCAGTAATCATGACCAACAGGTCTGTGTCCAAATCGGCGTTCACATTTTTAGTCTCAGTGTTATCAAGATATACAACACAGCTTTAATCTTACTATTTACCATACCTAAGGTGTAGGAGAACTAAACACGCATCTTAGGTACACCAACTAGTACCTACTTACAAGTTCATTTCCAATACACATACATACGTTAACTCTTCATTACTTCCACACGTAAACTATTATATTATGCAGATGTGAGCAGAACTTGTCAAATACTTGATATCTTATCATACACTCTAGTTTATCGTTGAACGTATATAGCTGACCAACACGTAAGTGACAGGACCCATCAAACATAAATTAGTGTATCATCCTTTCTCACGAATCATCTTGTGATATATCATGTGAATATATCATTTTTCTTACGCATATTGTGATTTAGTGTGTGATCACTTCATCATCTTTTGTCTCACCTTGGACCTTGTCGGATCACTGACCAATCAGAATAGATATTTCCAGCCGATACGAACAATCCATTTCCACGGTTGGGAAGCAACTGTACTGTGATAAATATATAAATATGATGTTTTGTTTCCTAATAGATGGTATAGTCCAATACAATATCTTACAGTCACAGGCCAGCCTTTGTCTTTTGATATTTGAGTGGCTAAGTGAATCGGAAGGTACAACGGACGAATAGATGTATTAGCGCACCAGTCGAGTTCACTACCGTTATAATAATTAGCAGGCCCAGACATACCAAAGTGCAACGAATTCAGTTCAGTTCAGTTATAACAGTAAGACAATTACATTTGGCTGTTGTTCTGGCGAAGTATAAAATATGGTGACACAACTTAAACGTAACAGAAGACGCCTGTTCACTGGAAAATGTCAAAATTCCATACTAGACAAGTTTTTTTCGACATACTTGGATGACATTTCGAACACACAATCATTCCAAATTGGGATAAGATGTATTTACTGGTCATAATCTTCAACATTCTCAACATATTTTCATCGCTCAATTATTGTTTAATAAATCCAGGTATACATTAGTAGTAGATGCGTTCATTTCTTTGTGTGGCCCCCATTTCGAAATGCAACAATTTGAACCAAACTGACTTTTTGATGCATACAGTCCAACGTTTGACGTGTCATTCATTGTTAAAGGACTAATTTGATCAGTGTTATAGAAAGACTTCACAACTAACCAACTTGTTGTAGGCGATATTTTTATCAAGATTTTTTGAATTTGTAGGGGTTTCTTTTTCAAATTCATTTCAATGTAGCTTCCTTTTGGTGTAAGCTGCGTTCTCTGAGCTGGATAGCTTAACTGAGAAGCTCTCTTTTTTTTTTACTAGAATACATCTTAAGGGGCGTACTTCAAATGATTTCTTATAATTATTCGTCATCTCTCATTGTAACCCTAATCGTGATTGGTTTCTTTGCGTGTTTTCTCACCCTGTAAGTTCATTTGTATCGCATCACGCTCAAAGTTATCAGGAGAAATAACAGATTAAATCGCGGAGAGTTTTAAAAAACCTCATTTCGAATTGCGCTGAAGATGTCGTCTAGTAACACAATGAAACCTTGACGGTATTAGATGGTTGGAGGCAATCCGGTCATAGGAAGCCTTGGACCTAGGTTTCGTGCTAGTTGGCACTCACTAGTCAGCAAGGCGTATCTGCAACCTTGAAGGAACTCATGTCCCTTCTGAGATTTGAACCCGCGTCACCCAGCGCCGCAGTTAGAGACGTTACCACTGAGCCTTGCTGATGAGTGCCAACTAGCACGAAGCCTAGGTCCAATGCTTCCTGTCAATTGCCTCCAACCATCTAATACCATCAAATCAATGTGCACCGTGATGGCGAGCTAGCTAGAATGGTGGTCACATTACAACCTGACTGATAGAATTCAGTCTACACCAATCAGTGGACTAGACGCATCACACTAGCTACTAGTGTCAAATCACAATGAAACCTTCACAATTCAGTCATCCAGTTTAGAGGATACAGGTACAACAACAACAAAATCCACCTAGGCTACAAATCTCTATTATATCTAATGTCATTTTTCTCAGATAACGAGATGTCATCACTTTGTGGATCCCTGCCACATAGGATGTGAAATAGACTTCCCCACTGATGACATGAGTCAGTGGCAGTGTTCTATGTCGCGAAACGACAGAAGTTAGAATCCACACACGCCTTTGAATTCCGATCCAGTGAGTGGGTGAAAGGTGTAAGAGTGCTTCAGCCATAACCTGAATGTCATGGCTTCGTTCTCTGTGAAGGGGTTATATTATTGGTGAGCAGTTCTCAAGCACCCTAAACAATGACGAAACACACCTGAAGTCTACATTGAGATGTGTGACAAGGAATAAAAGCAAAAGTATATATTTGAAAATAAAAGATATAAGTATATAATTCAATCAATTACCTTCTTCAGTCTTTCCACCATTAACAGAATGTGGAGTGGTACAATCATCTTGTGAAGTGATTGCCTCTGAATTTCTCTCTTCACTAATTGTTAATGATTCTCTTGATTGTAAATATTCACTTGTCAACTGAGGACAGTTAGATATATGTTCATCAGTTGTGCATGAATTCATGTTGATGACATCTTTTACTTGTAAGGATGATGTAAGACAACATTGACCGTCAGTTGTTGTATGATCACCATCACCATCAACGTAATCGGGATTAATGGTCCCATCTAAAAAAATCAATAATTTTTATATTTATTAGGGGGGTTTGACTGGTTTCAAGTTTGATCAGAGATTGATATCACTTGGAGAACTATTGAAAACCATGGAGAGATGTTTCCTCTTTATTTGGGATTCTTCAGCGTACTCACTCATGACCCCCAAAGGGGAAATAATGCCGGTTCCTCCTCAGGGTATGAGGGGAGATGGTTGACCATTACGGAATTCAATGACCCATGAATTCTAGCCTCCGTCAATTCACGATTTAAAATACCTACAAACTAATACTCCCAAATTAATCTGATACCCGCCCTGTTGATTGACTACAGGACGAAGTTACCTGGAGTCCTCTAGTCAGAAGTCGTGACCAATGGAGTCCACCCGGTCAGGGAAAGCGTACATATACTCGTGCCAGCAATGACATTGCCTGGTGGTAGTCGCGCTAGTATCACGAATTGGTAGAAGTTGTAATTAATGGGTTGGCCATTCAATCAGCTGCCAGTGATTGAACAGTCTACGGGTTCTTTTTCATTGAATTTTAGATTTTCCCATAGATTAATTGGACCGAAGTGATCGGTCTCAGGTTGACATGTCGGCTTCTTGTGCAGATGCTTCAGCGATGTCTGGGCATTTGATTCTAGTTTAATTTGTGGATGGTGACTAGCAGTGGAATCCAGGATGCGCATTTCGTCCTATTTGGGACTCGTCACCTGAGTGTACCTGCACTTCCCAGTGAGTGATGATGTTCCCAAAGAGGCTCGAACTCAGTGCCCATAGGAGAAAATGCGCATCCTGGATTCCACTGGTAGTCACCTACGACAAATTAAATACTAATTAAATGCCCAGACATCGTCGAAGCATCTGCACAAGAAGCCAACAGATATGTCAACCTGACAGCGAGCACTTCGGTTCAATCAATCGACGGGAAAATCTGAAATTCAATCAAAATTAATACGACCCGTTGCACAAGAGGCGGCTCTCTCGTGGCCCAAGTGGTCTAGTGGATAACGCTTTGGCTAGTGTTTGAAACTATGGGAACTGGGTTCGAGCCTCGGTGGGGACATCATCATCACTAGCTGGGAAATGCAGGTACATCCAGCTGGCGGTCGAGTCCCAAATAGGATGAAATGCGCGTTATCCTGGATTCCACTGTTAGTCACCATCCGCAAATTAAGGCCTACGGGTTCGCGTAGTAACCGGAAAGGCTCTAGGTTCGACCCCCGGTGGTGTGATGGGTGCGCACCGCGCTGAAGAGTCCCAAGATTAGGACGAAGCATCTGTCCAGTAACGCCTGGTTTCAAATGGCTTTCTAACAAGTAATAATGATTATAATAGTAACAATAGCAAACAGACATTATTTTATCCAGTAATCAGAATTCACAATCGATTGATTTTATAGTAAATATTTATAATAAGAGGTAAACAGTCTTCACAACGAATCAAAATGAAACGCAGATGAAAAAAACAAGAACAACAACAAATGTTTGTCTGATTTCTAGATTACATGATATAAAGAGACAAGACAATACCCATATAATTGACCATCATCACACCAACTGCATAAACAAGATAAATCCAATAATGTAACTGTGTTAGCGCACACGTATTTGTGTGTGTGTGTGTGTGTCCATGTATGGATAGATGGAGGATGGTTGTATTATAGAAGATTGTATAGATTTAGGTTGTCACAGTTTACGACATTGTGTTATAGGAGAGAAAGACAGAGAGACACAGAGAAACCTTAAATAAATCTGTTAAAATAAAGAGAACGTGAAGGATATCACTAGAATCCAAGATTTCAGAGAGAAAAAAACAACTAAAGAATGAATGCTTCAGGCAAATATATCACTGGAACTAGTTTCCAGAAAGCAGATTAGTCATATACCAGACGATGCCAGTGCGATAATTTAACACCTGGTTAACACTGATCATTCCATCTCAACCTCAAAAGCCTCCTGTTTCAAAGTAATCTATAGAGTCAAGAATAACCTATCAAAGGCAATACAATATCGTCTTCTTGGTATCGCTGAAGCTCTCTCTGGCCATTCAGATAAAAAAACCGGAGCTGTTCATACGAAAGAGGATTACTCAACCACTTCTACTGTCATGGTAACAACATTTTTTGTATTTTGATGACTTGATTTTGTTTCTTTGCCTCTTCTTTATTGCTTTCAATTCTTGTATTCATTTAGAACCCCTAGGTAATTTCGTATTCTCTTCTTTCTTCCTATGTGTATAATGAGTACAACTCAATCATCGAACTGTTCATATTATTACATAACTTCTTTTTTGACATCTGTTTATGACAAGTCATCACCTTTGTTACTGCCCTAATTTCATTAACACCTAATTTTCTTGATTGATTTTGCATTGCGAAACTCCAATTACCAATCTTCACCTGTTTAGTTAAAATAACCATGACCAACAATTGTATTTTTAGAAAACAGAAAGATTGAGCGAGGAAATATTTACTTTTCAATTAGATCCTCATCTCTGGCTCTACTCTAATACATATATAGAATTTTTATTACAATGCAACAGTTTACCAATCAAGAGGCACTGATATGTTTGTTAACAATAATTAGTCAGTGTCAAGATGTCAATGGGTTGATAATTAACGAAGAAAATCAGTGCACATTTAAAAGGTAGAAATGGTTAGAATAAATTAATTTCACAAGGATAACACGTAAATTAAACATGAAGTGGTCAAAATAAATAAAAATAAAATAAATAATTTGGACAATTATGATTTTTATAGGTTTAGGGGGAGGGGGGCCGACGTAGTCCTGTTTAGGCATTCTTGTGACGATGGCCACGGTAGGGAAAGTGGCTGTACAAATTTTTTCTGTACACATGCATACAAAATAACCCATATATATTTGCGATTGTACAGCTAAGAAAATGAATTCGCCGTCGAAAAGAGACTCTTTGTTGATCTACGTGTTTTGTTTTCATTAATGCCTGGATGGGGACTTTCCACGAAAAGAGGAGTATTGGGCGTGGGGCTAGTGACACTACCCTAGGAAACCAATCCAATAGCTACAGGAACTTCAAAGCAAAAGAAAAGCAAACTTATTCTTCGCTGGAGTAGGAGAGATGAAATGACACGGGCTGATGAAAGCCTTCGGGGAGCCAGTCAGAGCCAATGTGTCGTTTCTCGATGGAAGTAAAAATAATCATTGCGACGAGGAACGCCCGTACAATGTACGAAGCTGCGAAGGCTGCTCAGGTCATCGAGGGAATGAGAAGATAGCCTAAAAAAACAATTCAAGTTCAACATTCAGAAACTCAAGGACAAAACTACAAGGGATACCTTCACTACAGAAATCAGAGCAAAGTCTGAGACACTACATGGCATCATCGAGAAAACCTGCCGCATGGAAGAAAATAGTAACTCTCCGAAGCCAATATTAAAGGAAACGTGTACAACAACTGTTCTGGGAATTAAGAATAGACAAGACAAGGAATAGCTCCCAACGGATACCTAGAACCTAATCGAGGAGAGGAGAGGAGGATGGTGAAAGAGAAGATGATTCAATGCAAAGATGGTAGACAGCAGGAGAAGCTAAGTCCCATGTACATCTCACTGAACAGAGCAGCAAAGAAGAGTGATAAGAAAGACAAAAGACAATTCTACGACACACTGACTTGCAACTGAAGGAGAATAGGCAGTCTGCAGGTAAAAAAAGATCACAGAACATTGTACCAGATAACCAGGTCTCTATCCAAGAAGAGATCGATCCAGATGATGAAACCAATAAGAGATGTTCAAGGGGACCTGATTACCAAGGAAGATAAACAAATAAAACAATGTGCTGGTCATTTTAAAGGATTCTTGAATCGACCACCACCTGCATCTCACCCAGAAATACCATCACCACCGATAGCACGCAGAGAACTGCCTGCCAGTGGACACTAATCCTCCAACGAAAGCAGAAATCCTGAGTGCAACCAAGCTATTGAAGTTCAAGAAGGCAGCAGGACCAGATGGAATCCCCCCGGAGCACAGAAGACGGATCCACAGACTGTAGCAGATATGTTTACGTCACCATTGCAGAAGGTTTGGAAGGAAGGAAAGGTGACTACTGATTGAAAAGAAGGCTAACCACCTTGTCAAGCTACCAAAGAAGAGCGACTTATGCCTCTGTAAGAACTGGAGTGGAATAGTACTCTTGTACACGCCAAATAAAATATTAAAGTGAGTCATCCTGGAGAGAATAAAAGGTATGGTGCATGCAAAACCCCGCCCGTAGCAACAAGCTGGATTCAGGAAAAGTATATATATAAAGAACAAAATTCGGATTTTCAACATCAATATGAAGTCAGTCAGTTCTTTTATATGGTGCCTTGCAAAAAGGATTTCCAGCAGGCCACTGCACACCCACCTTAACAACTGCCTTCGCTGGCCTCATACTGAAGATTAGATGGCTCACCAAAAAGAATCAGCAACAAGAAACTCTGAAGACGACATAATCAAGAACCGATTCCTCAACAAATACGCCGAAGAGAACGTAGGTGGTGGTATCGGGTGGTTGGAGGCAATCGGCAGACAGGAAGGCGCGTATCCGCAACCTTGAATGGTATCATGTCCCTTCTGAGATTCGAACCCGCGTCACCCAGTACCACCTGCTGTCAGAGACGTTACCACTGAGCTCTTCGGGCTCGTGATTGACATCCTGTAGGACTATATTGGATATTTTGATTGGACACTGGTCAGTGACTAGTACAATGTGTCTAGTCCTGTCTTTGGTACAGCAGACTGAATTCTATCAGTCAAGTTTGCAATGGCATAGGTGGTTTGGAGACACACGCTGAAAGGGCATTTGGATCACGTCGTGCGCGCCAGGCCATAGGTCGAGTGGAGCCTAAATAGGAAACGATGAGTTGGGCATTGGTCTGAGGGTGACATTTAGTAGGTGAGTGCCTATTGGCAATTGTGGGCTACAGAGAATAGCAGATATGCTATTGTTGAAGTCGCATGTTACACTCAGAACCCAACAGAATAATAAATAAGTATTATTATATATTAACATCAAGATTTCCAATAACTTACCACATACTCCATCTGTATTCTCTGACTTGCTTTCGTGCAATTTAATTGTTCTCACTGAATTATTACTTACACTAGAATTGTGATTCACAATTTCAGTAGTAGTAGCTGAATCCCCTGAAGAACACATGACAGGAGTAGTTGTCTGCTGCAATGAACAACAGTCATCTGAGGTAGACGATTTGACAGACACAACCGTTGTTGTTGTTGTTGCCATTGTATTAGTAGTAATAGATGTCGGGACAGGTGTTGATGAGGAAGTTTTTGTATCACATGCATTTATACTGTTAGCATTATGTTGATTTGTGACAGCTATTGGATTAATTGATTCAGTAGTAACTGGGGACACTGTTGTTGTAGTAGACGCTTGTATACATGTGACCGATGGTAGTGGATTGATTGATACTGTCACAGTGGGTACAGAATTTCGACTATTGGGATAATTCCCTAGAGAGAATATATTTCAGGCGAAAGAAAATAAAACCATTTCAATGTGTCTGTCTGTCTGTTTTAGACATAGAACTTTGCACATTTGTGCGGCTGTTCAAGTCGCCATACTCCCGCCTTGTAGCACACAAAGCAAGAGAAGAAATGCAAAATAGAGACGGTAAACAGAGGTGTGAGACAAAGGAGTAGTATTAACGAAGAACAATATAGTTTCATTGGAAATTATAAGTCACAAGGAGTGGATGCATCTGCGCTAGCCATTGGGAACAATTTTGAGCCATGTCACCAATTGTTTCCAAACATTGGATTTTACCGTCCCGAGGACCCCAACCAGGAAGCCAGCCTACACCTTCCTACGTGGTTGGCTTAAACTAACTGTTGTGGATTTCATTGACTGGTGAAGCCATGTATTGGTTTGACCGCCGCTAGCTCTTTTCCAGCCTGTCCCTATGTCAGCTAACATTACCCGTTGTTTAGGAAGGCGATGACTAGGCATACGTAATACGTGTCCTAACCATCTCAGTCGATGCAAGTTTACAGCCTCGTCGATTGATTTCCCCTCCCACCTAACTAGCACTCGACGCCTAACCTCAATATTGCTTACCTTGTTATACCAGTTAACACGGAGGTACAACGCAGGCACCTATGATCAAAGACAGCTAGCCAGGCTTTTCATGTCCTCTACTCTCAATGACCAGGTCTCATAGACATAAAGGAGGACCGAGCGGACTGCTGAGCAGAACACCCGTCTTTTGGTCGATAGCCGGATATCACGTCTACGCCAGAGACGGCGTGTGCGAAATTAGCCCTCTGTATCCGTATGAAGAATTCGTCGGAGATCAACCCGTTGGGGCCGATGGTACTTGTCAAATAAGCGAATCGGTCAACGTGCTCTACCACTTCACTCCCTATTTCTAATCTAGGAGTCAGTGTAGTCCAGTCCTGTAACATCACCTTACATTTGGCGGGAGCGAGTCGTATGCGAAACAGTCGTAGATTGCAGCTCAAGGTGTTCAGAAGACTCTGCATTTTGTCAGCGTACAGTTTTATCAAAAGCTGTCTTCACTGGTACCATATTGAAGATCAAATGGCTGGTCGGAAAGAATTAGCAACAAGAAAGTGGGAACGAACCAATCAAGAGCCTATTGCTCAACAAATATGACGAATAAAATGGAGATGGACTGGGCGAACGCTGAGGAGACTGTCGAATAACATCACGCGCCAGCCGAATAAGAAACGACTCGTTGGTTATGCGAGGGTGACAAGGAGGAGATTGTGAGAGGAGATAAGGGACTACGGGAAATCGTAGGGTCAGCTAAAGAGGAGAGTAGAGAATAGGAAAACATGGAGATGTGCTGTTGAATCCCACTGTTCTACTCTGAACTCAAGGGATGCACAGGTGGTGTTAAAGCATACCTCTAAAATTTCATCAGTTTCAATAGACATGTCTTGCTAGTAGTCTGTGGCAGTGAAAGTTGTTCAATAGTCCTATCTAGATAGCAGACTTCAGAGTCAATCACGTAATATTGCATCTTCATTGTTTCATGCTACAGTGAATGTGACCTAATGAATCGGAAATGGGTAGGAAAGTTCCAGACTAATTTCTAGTCAAGGGTCAGATTAATAGAATTATAATTAGGAATTAAAATGCCATAACAAACAGGGGGACGAATAAAGCTCAGACAAAGTAGCATCATAATTACTGAGAAGATTGACATATTGTGCGATTAAGCAGAAAGAGGAACCTGATATGCGCTTTTTCCTCGAGGATTCGGAAGATATGCAGCGAGGAGGTGATTGATGAATTGAGTAATCTCCGAAGAACCTTGATGGAAAACGGTTTTCCGCCTAGGTTCATAGACAAGAACCTCAGATCAATGAAGACTTCCGAACAAGTTCAATCTGTCCCGAAGAAGATACTTCTGCTTAATCTAGAATTCAAAGGTGACATTGAAGCAGAAATCCTTCGTAAACGCCTCTCCAAATCTTTGAGGAGAACATACTTCGCCACAAGCCTAAGACTAACGTTTTCCTGCAAGAAACTATTCAATCAGAACGCGAAAGACAAGCTGTTGCATTGGGCCACTTCAACATGCATATAACAGTTTACATGCTCTTGCGAAGCTGAGTACAACGGCCATACCATGTGCCAACTTGAAAAACGCGCTCGTGAACACTATCCAGCCTGGCTAGTAAGTAAATGGAGAACAAAAACGTGTATATATTTCAGTGACAGAACATATGGTCAATTCAGGACATTCAGAGCTATTCGAAAAATCCTTCAAAATAATATACAAGATTCGATCGAACCTATCAAAAGGAGTAGAATTAAGATATCTGGGCATAGCCGAGGCACTAGCTATCCAAAAGCTCAAACCAACGTTATGTATCCAAAAGAAATACGTTCAACCCTCGTCCCTGCCGTGATGGCCAATATCATAAACAGGTAATTTTTCTAATAGTGACTATCCTATTGCTTTGCTTATCCAAACTTCCTGTTTATTCAAGTTAATTTTAAAATTTTCTTAATCCCTATTTACACTACCATTTTTTTCATATCTGAACTTCCTGCCTATTTTGTCATTTTATTATTTCTACATATTTAATCCCTGATTGCATAAACAATTATTTGTTACATCAGTTATGATCCCACTATATTTTTTATCCAAATATGCTGTCTATTTTTGTTATTTCTACATTTCTAATCCTTAATTGCACGATATGTCAATCATCTCAGTAATTATGATGCTACTTTGTCTGAGCTTTACTCGTCCCCCTGTTTGTTATGGCATTTTAATTCCTAATTATAATTCTACTAACCTGACCCCTAACCAGAAATTATTCTGGAACTTTCCCACCCATTTATCATAAATAAATACACGGATGTACAGCTGTCTATAGTTGATGACTTCGTCGGAAAGAAAATTTTCTTCGCTGCAACTGTCTTTTTATTCCCTATGATCGAATGTGCATATTTCGTGAATCGGACATGCTTCTGTTTTACCTGCATCCTAGTGACGCTGATTGAAACTAGTGTATTCTAACAGTATGGTTAAACACATCACTGTTATAATGGCCATCCTGAAATGAAACCCCATAAGAGAAGGAAATAAAAAGGTACAAATTAAACCAATTTACGTTACCTTCATATACACTGCTGCGCATACACACACACGTACACAAGCAGGTTTTCATACACTATTAGAAACACAAATCTAACAACTTATTAGTGGTTGACTAGTTATGTCAAGAGTGATGTTGCAATGCAATGTGTGCACAGAATGCAAAATAATAATTGAAGATAAATTTAGCATTGTATATGATACTTTGATCAAAAATAGCTATCCTGAAAAATTTATCAAGAAACACATGACAAAGAAAGCGGAAAAGAACTACTCACTATTAGTACACAAGAAGCCACTTTATATACGACTACAATTCAAGGCCAATATACCGAGTGCGATAATTACGAGGGAATAAAGAAAATCAGTTCAAAGAACTTTTAATACTGGTGAACTCCACGTATTATTCTCTACACGACCGATGGTGCTGCCTCAACTGAAAGATGAAGTACCTAGACTAGCCACTTCAAATTGTGACAACCAATTCAACTGCGCTTGTAGTGGAGCGAGTTATATTGGTCGTTGCTCTAGGAACTTGATTTTTCGTGCTTACTCGAGAACATCTCCCACTATGGCGAAGTAAAAGTGTAGTTAAAACCATTAAGAGTTCGATATTGGACCATCTGGTGCAAACCGGCCGGCCACAAAGCCAGCCAGCGTGGAAGAATCCTTTTCTATCATTTACCGAGTGCCCAATAAATTGCCAAAATCATCGAAGCACCTCATGCTCCAAACAGCAGAGGCTATTGCAATTCGCGAGAAACAACCAGTGCTTTGTGTTCAAAAGAAGCAAGTCCAGCTGGCCACTACCACCGTCCTTAACGGCCTTCAGTAAAGACTATAAATTCCTGAATTTGTAATATTATCTTTTCTAATTTTTTGACATTCAGCTTATTTTACGCTGATGCTATTAAGCTGTAATCTATCAATATTATGGATTCGATGTTATTTAAACAGCAGCATTAATGTTGTTCATAACACTAATTCATTCATTCGTTCACTATAATGTATATATAACTGTAGAGCCTGATGATGAAGGGGTTATCGAAAAGAGTATTCTTTGTTCAGTATCCATTCTTTTGAAAATAAAATTATTTTTTTTAAAGTCTACCGAAATACTCTCTCATCAAACACTTACCAGGCCCCCGAGTATTGAAATTACCAGGTGAGGAATTTTTCCTCCCTGAAATTTGACCTCTTTTCCAAGCCATTGAACCTAAAAATTCAGGAGAGAAAAAGAAGTGTAAAAGCGAAACTCTTCGAATTCCCCTGCAAACATGAAATTATAGATTTATGTCTAAGAAAGGAAATCCATCTAGTACAAACAAGACACTCCACAGCCCTCATTTTTTCTCAATACATAACTGAATGGACTTGCTCATGAACACAGGCAAGTGGTGAATAAACTGACGTTGAATCATTCTCACTACACGTATTTACAGTTGATTCGATAAACAATTTCTCCCTCCACTCTGTGACATTAGATTTTAAAACCGTCATCCTATCCCATCCGTACTATTGTGTGTGACTGCATGTAGTGCTATAAGTGAACTATCCTCTGGATTTCTTATCTTATTCCGATCAACCAATCTAGATTTTGCTAGGTTTTTATACTACCCTAGTCTGACTGCCCCTGTTCTATAACTTTAATCTATGTTTTGTTTTAAAGGCTCCACTGGCAGGATCCTTTAATCGATAACGCCTGTTTTTAATTGAGTTTATGGGTTTGAATGTCACTTTTATTCCTACCTTGTTAAGAATTCTGCGTAAGGTGGTTTCGAGGTTACTTCCTTGTATGGAATTACTACTGATGATTTAGATTGCTTATTGCTGGTGTTGTCTTGCGCATATTTGACATGCATATCGTCATTAATATTATTATTATTGTCACTATCACTACTAACATTATTTACTTTATTTTTACATTTCCCTACATATTTCTTGACTAATTTATCAGGGTAATTACTAAGTTTCAAGGCTTCTCTTATATGTGTCACTTCTTGTCTTAGATTGGCATTTAAACTCAAATAGTCAATTAGATACAAGCTTTGTCGGTTAAAGGATCCTATGGAACCTTCAACAACACCTGCCCCAGATATCTGGAAAATTATACTACCCCAACGACGACAAATAGGAGAGAACAAAGAAGACTATAAAACTCAAGTTTCGAGGTCGTGTGATTTTAACTGATGAAATGATTATGAACAATAAATTTTGTCCGAAACTGTGTCATCCAGTAAATAATACTGTCACTCCACTGTGATACATCTAATAAACAAACTAATGTGGAATTACTTACTACCACAGTGCCCAAGTTATACACATATATTGAGTGAACTTCTTGGTGAAAATACATTAGGATCTAATCTTGAAGAATAAAAAATGACATCACACATGCTAGTCATACACTCGAATGGAACACGAATGCCAAGTGAGCAACATGTTAGGCCTTATTACGAAGGTAATATGGAGAATATCGTGTGGGAACGTGGGGGAGGAGGAAACGAAAGCTAATGGGGAATCGTCATAGAGCCAGCTAGAAAAAAAACATTAAAAAGAACAGAGTAGAAAGCAAGATGTGCTGTTAAAGCGCTATATACTCATTCCACCACTCTGAACCGAAAGGCAATATAAATAATCAATCAATCAATACTCTTCAAGAATTCAACCTACCTGAACTCATAGATTTACCTATTTGACTGATACCATATCCATTGTTCTGTTTACGTCTAGAATATCCACTGGAGTTGTTACCAGCAACACTACAACAACTACTGCTACTACTATTCATTGATGTATAAGTAGTATCATTTGATGAAGCTATAACAGGTGAATCATTCACTTTACGACTCGTGTTGGATTCAATTGTTGAAGATGCCGAAGATGAAGAAGAATTAGACGTTATATGACTTGAAGAGGTGGTTTTCGATGAGATGATATCATTAGATAAATTACTATAATTATTATTTGTATTGACATCACTAAAAGTGAATTTGTTGATACTGGCACTATTACTACCACCAGCACTTGTTAGGGTTGTTGCAATCGTTGTTACGATTGTTGTTGTTGCTGTTGTGGGCGGTGGTGTACTACTACATAACTTGTTATCATCAGTATTCGATTGTAATAACCGCTCTCGATATTGTTCCCATTCTAAAAATTAAAATAAATATAAAATAATATTGAAACAATTAGTCCCCTTGATAAACTTGAATAAAGCAATTTAGAAGACAAATTTCGCAAGTTAATGTCATCATTCCGTAGTTTCTCTACCTCCAGAGTCCGAACCCAGAACATTCCCCGGTTATAAGGCAAGCCAGTTCGTAGACCATTAATTAAGCAACTGAAGGTGGTGATACAGTAACTCATCGAAGAAGACATTGCAAAGTGGTGGTCGCTCTATGTCATGAACTGACAGAAGTCAGAATTCATGGACTGGCCAATGAATGGATCGGGTCCCAGTGGCCGATGGACTAGGGTTCGGTAACCAGAAGATTCTGGGTTCGAACACTAGCGCTAATTCTGTACTGATGACGAGAGTCCCAAACTATGACGGATTGAAACAACTGTCCAGGTTTTCCAATGGTTCTCTAACTGATGTCAGTCAGCTCATGATGAAATCTTCCAACCAATCAAACAAACAATCCCTACACAAAACCAATATTTGGAAATTTATACAATTTATGCTTTAAGGTTGAATAGGTACAAACGAAGGAACATCGTGAAGACATAAACGTATATCAGTTTGATCAAATATACAATATGTAGGTTTTGTGAGTCATAATCCATTAACGTTATCATTAAGTGATTAATAATCACTAAAGTGCATATTAGCAATATAAACTAGAGTTATTGTATTAGTATTAATAGAATTATAAACATCTAGATTTCGGAATAATGTTGAAATATGAGAGAAACTTCGTAAAACTAAATAAATAAATTTAACACAAATAAGCCATATCGGACTATATGATAAAATTCTAACGTATCTGATCTAGTATACAATTGGTGGATGGTGGCTACCAGTGGAATACAGGATGCGCATTTCGTCCTATTTGGGGCTCGTCCGTCAGCTGGATGTACCTGCATTTCTCAGTGAGTGATGATGTTCCCATCACCAAGGCTCAAACCCAGTGCCCATAGTTTCAAACGCCAAAGCGTTATCCACTAGACGACTTGGGCCACGAGAGCCACCTCTTGTGCACTGGGTTCGATCCTCGGTGAGAACATCATCAGCACTCAGTGAGAAATGCAGGTACGTCCAGATGACGAGTCCAAATAGGACGAAATGCACACCCTGGATTCCACTGCTAGCCACCATCCACCAATTGTATACTAATCAAATGCCCAGACATCGTCGAAGCATCTGCACAAGAAGCCGACATGTCAACCTGAGACCGGGCACTTCGGTCCAATCAATCGACGGGGAAATCAAAATTCAATTCAGTATCTGATCTAAACTCATAAAATAGTTTAAACACTCCTCACTAAGATTAACCATCAACTATTATTCTTGAGTAAATGAAAAATCTCTATATTGAAATCAAAACAAGATTTTGAGCGAACAACTGTGGTTTCGATAACTTCTTCTTCAGGCTCTACAGTTATAAATCCATGACTAATATAGATTACATATAGCCAGCCAATAAAGGCAAATGAAAATAATGTAAGAAACTGTATTGGGGCGTGCATGTGTAAGTTAAGATGATAGTCCATTAGTTAACATAGTCAATCTAATGTGTATAGGGTGTATAGTCAGAAAAATGTGATGAAGTGTGAATGAACAATTGGGTGATATAGTGTTGTTTTACGAGTTGATCGCGGATTGATATCAGTTAGAGAAGCATTGAAAACCAGGGGGAACTGGACAGCTGCTGTTTCATCCTGGTTTGGGAATCATCGGCAGTACGCACCCACCACCAGGATTCGAACCCAGGACCTTCCGGTTACAAGGCAAGCTCGGATACCATTCAGCCATGGTTAACAGAATGCAAATGTCCTTGGGTGAGAGAAATGCGATAACCACAAAATACATATAAATACACATTAACAGTGGAGGCACTGTTATCACGATATCGTGTCTTTATTATCCATTTCTCCACCTAATTGTTACTCTTAATTTTGTCAACCTTTATGATTTTATAGTAAGCCTACCGATTCTGTAGCATTTTATTACAATTTACAATTTAGCCTCTTTACTTTATCAGTAGACATTATCAGTTAGCCCTCACATCCAGTGCCTCCACTGTTAATGTGTATTTTGTATATGTATTTTGTGATTATCGCATTTCTCTCACCCCAAGGACACTTGTATTCTGTTAACCAGTGGCTGAATGGTATACGAGCTTGCCTTGTAACCGGAAGGTCCTGGGTTCGAATCCTGGTGGTGGGTGCGTACTGCCGATGATTCCCAAACCAGGATGAAACAGCAGCTGTCCAGTTCTCCCTGGTTTTCAATGCTTCTCTAACTGATATCAATCCGCGATCAACTCGTAAAACAACACTATATCACCCAATTGTTCATTCACACTTCATCACATTTTTCTGACTATACACCCTATACACATTAGATTGACTATGTTAACTAATGGACTATCATCTTAACTTACACATGCACGCCCCAATACAGTTTCTTACATTATTTTCATTTGCCTTTATTGGCTGGCTATATGTAATCTATATTAGTCATGGATTTATAACTGTAGAGCCTGAAGAAGAAGTTATCGAAACCACAATTGTTCGCTCAAAATCTCATTATTCTTGAATAAGGCATTTAGAAGACAAATTTCACGAGATAATGTCATCATCCCATAGTTTCTCTACAATATCTTGACAACTAACATGGTTCACAATAATAATAAAATAAAACGCATGACAATTACTCAGTTAAATTAAAAAAACAAAAGTGCATACTAATGACCAATCATCACATTTAAATAGGTGAAGCAGTCCATGGTAGGCGAAGATTGAAGTCGATTGTTTTCTGTACACATTACAGTTTAGGATGTATGTAATTAATCCTCCAAAATGCTTCCATCACCTTTAAGCAACCAACCTTGAATTAGAGTTATGTGATGAAATAATTGTGAAACAGTCATTAATATTGATTTTGTGATTAAACATTAATCCCGGTGGGTGCGTACTGATGAAGAGTCCCAAACTAGGACGAAACAGCTGTCCAGTACTCCAGGTTTTCCAGTGGTTCTCTAACTGATGTCAGCTCATGATTAAATCCTCCATGAAATCAAACAAAATCCCTACAAAACCAATACTTGAAAATTAAACATTAATAATAAGTGCTGTGCAATGGATGATGATGATGATGATGGATTTCTATTCAGATTAATTGCATTGGGATTTTCTACATGTTTTAATAACCATTTTGGAACATGTTCTTTTCGACGACCACATTGGAACATTCTATTGGTTCTATTTATTTATTTTTTATTTTTGATTACAGCTTGATTCCACACCGTATTTTTGATACAAGTATGGAATATTCAGCATGGATATCGGTAGCCCAGATTTCGCAGGCCGACCATAGATATCAAGGTGTGCGTCGGCGTGGGCTCGAACCCCGGACCATGTGCATGGTCGGCGAGAGTCCTAACCACTGTGCCACCTATATAAGTGTCACTGCAACTCTAGGTGAAGAACTTGTAGGTACAATTTGAAATAGAGTCTACAGAATTTCGTCCTTCAATCGTAGGTAGAGGGATGAAAATGTTATTGAAGGTTACTGAAGGTGATGGAAGCATTTTGGAGGATTAATTACATATATCCTAAACTGTATGTGTACAAAAAACAATCGACTTTAATCTTCGCCTACCATGGACTGCTTCACCTATTTAAATGTGATGATTGGTCATTAGTATGTACTTTTGTTTTTTTATTTAACTGAGTAATTGTCAGGCATTTTATTTTATTATTTTTAACTATTTTAGTTGTAAAGCGGTTGTAAAGAAACTACGAAATGATGCCATCATCTCGTGAAAGTTGTCTTTTAAACGCCTTATTCATATAAAATAGTTAAACTGTCATCACACTTTTGACATTGAAGAAGTTTCGACACCATTGGGAGAGTGTAATTTTACATTAGTTAACTTTTTAAAAATTCTCCTTTACGTTCTGAAGGGAACATAAGGCTTCAAACTTTCAGAGATGCGACTTTTCAGAACGGCGGTTTTGTCTAGCCTCACACACTCAGCCTCTGCGCTCTTTTCCAAGCTTACTACTATCGCGGTTGAGCGAGGTTTAGGAGTGGGTCGACCGGGAAATTGAGCCAAGACTACGCGAACCTGGTTGGCGAACTATTCTACCAACTGCAACTTTATTAATTAGATATATGCTTATTTGATCAATCACAATGGTACTGTGGAGGGTGTTACAGACAAGATTTATAAGTAGTATATATATACAGATGCGAATATCAGAGGTAAGTTCGACACTTTTGGGTTATTTGCATGTCACGCATTCCCTCTTCTCTGTTTTCCAGATGGATGATCATGCCACCGCCCCAACAAGAAGGTGAGTCTCATAATACCTTTATCTTATTATTGTCGCCGACGTACACATGCTGGGATGGCAGAACGCGGTTAGAAAGTATTAACAAATCATGTGATATCCTCAAAGAGTTAATATTCCATCCATAAGGATCCGCGATATCCTACGAACCGTTACCGAGGTCGAAAACCCCAGAACTTGAGCATCACTATCTCCCCTTTTTCCTTTCTTTTTCTCACAGATGGAGTTAGACGAACAGGGGGATGGCCACAACCGCTAGCACCCTGGCGTGGAGTCACCAGTAACCGGTTTCTAACAGCCTTCCAAAGATGCTCAAACCACCACCTCACCCTGTCCGAGTGCGTATCGAATCTTCAGGACGATGATTGATTCCGAAGATCAGACAATAGTCTGCTAACCACGCAGGCAGTAAAGAGCTGAGATGCTCTGAGTGCCATCGTTCGTGTCTGCGGGCGATGACGGTTGAGATGGTGGACAGCGTAGAAGGGTGCGTAGTGAGATCCGGTTGGCCGAAGTGGACGATAACCCAGGTCGGGAACCTGATGCCGTCCCAACTTGGGCGGTTAAAGTAGATAGCCTGGGACTTTGGGGCTTTCTCCGTTAGTATGAGTGGCAGGACCTGGCTGCTA